CTTGCACACAGGAGGTTAGCATAACTCTCATCTAAGAGGATTCACCCAACAACTTATCCCCACAGCTGAACATTAGGCAGAGCTCAAGGAACCTTGTGAACAAGGAAGAGGTAGGAGTTGAGGAGCCAGAAAAGTCAAGGAAACCACAGGAAAACCTACAGAATCAACTGACCTGGGGCCATGGGGCTCAGGCTGAATCACCAACCAGAGAGCATGCATGGGACAGACCTAGACCCCTTACACAAATGTGATAGATTTATAGCTTGGTCTTCTGTAAGACCCTAACAGTAGCAGCAGATGCTGGCTCTGAATCTGTTTCCTGCCTCTGGATCCCTTTCCCCTAACTGGGCTGCCTTATCTCGATAGAAGAAGATGCACCTAAAACTCTACAACTTGACATGTCAAGGCAGATTGATATCCATGGGAGGAAACATGGAGGGAGTATGTTAGAAGGGGAGGCGAGAGGGAGAAACTTAGAGGCGAGGAGGGAAGCTCCAATTGGGATACAATGTAAAAAGAATACATTAATTCATACAAAAAGAAGTTTGTGGGTTTTTTTCCTAGTAAATTTTGTAATTTGGCTGTTACTTCAGAAGTTCTTAAAATGTATTAGTTACCTTGCTCTTTGTTATAATCCATAACTACACAATTAGTAAGTTTAAGAATCAATGGGTTACTGTTGGCTCACATTTCAATTCCGTAGGTCATGGTGCGAAGACTTGGCAATAGGAGCATGAGATGCCTAGCCGCATTGCATCTAGTTAGGATGCAAATAGCATGGTTGTGTTTCAGCCTGCTCTCTCCTCTTTTCATTAGGCTGGGAATGTAGCCCGAGGTATAGTGATGCCTACATTTATCATAAGTCTTCTTGTCAAAACTTTCCTGGAAATAACGTAAAAAGTCTTTCTCAGAAGTTTGAGTTTTTGTTGTTGTTGCTGGTGATAGTGGTGTTTTTTTTTTGGGGGGGGGTGGAGAGTATTGTTTTTGTTTGTTTATTTGTTTCCCCAAAAGTGACTCTAGACCCTCTCAAGTTGACATCACAAGTTTAAACTGATAATCTCATAACATAAAAATCTTTCTGGGTTGGGGATTTGTCTCATTTGGCAGATGCTTGAGTAACATTTGTCAGCCTCAGGTGTGATCCACAGAACCACATAAGTTGAGCATGATAATACATGATTTTAAGCACGCAGAACTAGAAGACGGAAAAATTAGAAGTTCAGCATTATTCTGCCAGTCTACCATACATAAGACATGTCTCAAATAAAGAGAGAAAGAGAGAGAAAAAGAAAAAAGAAAGAAAAGGAAAAAAGAAAACTTAATTTACTCAGCTCAGCTCTAGAGACTCGATACTCTAAAACCATTCCAAAATTGTTCATGATTCTTAAGGTCTTCTCAAGGCAATCTTTTAACTATGACCTCCTATAAAATAATAAATAAGCTGATAATATATAATCAAACAAAATAAACTTTTCGTTCCAAATAAGATAAATCAAGAGATAGACAGGAAAATCTGTACCAAAACAAGACAGAAATGTAGCAGGAAAAACATCAAATTCTGCAAGAAAATATCTAGCATCTGGGAATCACGAAACTGAAAAACTTCTGTAAAGCAAAGGACACTGTCATCAGAACAAAACTACAGCCTACAGACTGGGAAAGAATCTTCACCAACCCTATATCTGACAGAGGGCTAATATCCAGAATATATAAATAACTCAAGACGTCAAAAAGCAATAAATCAAATAATCCAGTTTAAAAAATGTGGTACAGAGCTAAACAGAGAACTCCAGTTTCTTATAAAACATTCTTCACACTGTTTTAATAAGTGGTACAATCTGAAAATCTTAATAGGAAGAAGTAATTGTTCTTTCATCCAAGTCATTTACTGGTTATGATGTCTGCACATGTGTTTTCAGGACATTATAAAAGAAATGTGCACTTTTCTTCTCTCCTAGGTAGTTTAAGCTATCATTCACATATACTGGTATCAATCAGACTGGAAAAACCATCCTCCTAACTCAACTCCATATGCAATTGCTGAATGAAGGGTGCTGTTCAGTCTTTAAAAGAAAACTACTTGGCAAAATAGAACTTTTAAAGGTCGTATCAAATGATCTTTAAGAAAACATCTAATTGACATATCACAAATACTTACACAGTACAGTAGTCGGAGTTCCTGACCCCCAGATAAAGATCAAGTAAAGTTAGTGCTCCCTTTCCATTCATGTATCCCCTTAATTTACTTTTTGTATATTAACTTAGATCCTCTGCATTACAATGGCCCAGCATGATTTCTTTTAAGCCTAATTGCAAATAGGGAACAATTCCAAGTCATTCTCAGCAGAAAAATGGCAGCCACATTTATCAGTACCTCCAGCATCTTCAGACCTTCACAGACACTAGGCACGAATGTGGTGAACATATATACATGTAGGGAAAATACTTATACACATGAAAGGAAAAAAAAATCTTAAAAAAGTTAAAGAAATCCTATTGCTCTAGCAAGGATTTCATTTTTTTATTAATTACACTTTATTCACTTTGTATCCCCCCATAAGCCCCTCCCTCCTCCACTCCCAATCCCACCTTCCCTCCCCCTTCTTCATGCATGCCCCTCCCCAAGTCCACTGATAGGGGAGGTCCTCCTCTCCTTCCTTCTGAACTTCGTCTATCAGATCTCATCAGGAGTGGCTGCATTGTCATCTTCTGTGGCCTGGTAAGGCTGCTCCCCCCTCAGGGGGAGGTGATCAAAGAACAGGCCAATCAGATTATGTCAGAGGCAGTCCCTGTTCCCATTACTATGGAACCAACTTGGACACTAAACTGCCATGGGCTACCCCTGTTCAGGGGTTCTAGGTTATGTCCATGCATGGTACTTGGTTGGAGTATGAATCTCTGGGAAGACCCCTGTGTTCAAATTTTCTGGTTCTGGTGCTCTCCTTATGGAGTTCCTGTCCTCTCCAGATCTTACTATTTCCCACTTCTTACATAAGATTCCATGCACTCTGCCCAACAGTTGGTCATAAGTCTCAGCATCTGCTTTGATAGTCTGCAGGGCAGAGCCTTTCAGAGGCCCTCTGTGGCAGGTTCCTGACTTGTTTCCTGTTTTCTTCTTCTTCTGGTGTCCATCCTCTTTGCCTTTCAAGAGGGGATTGAGCATTTTAATCAGGGTCCTCTCTCTTGATTAGTTTCTTTAGATGTACAGATTTTAGTAGGTTCATCCTATATTATATGTCTATATGAGTGAGTATATGCTGTGTATGTCTTTCTGCTTCTGGGACAGCTCACTCAGGATGATCAACTGAAGAATGGATGCAGAAATTGTGGTACATCTACACAATGGAATATTACTCAACAATGAAAAATAAGGAAATCATGAAATTTGCAGGTAAATAGTGGGTCCTGGAAAGGATATTCCTGAGTGAGATGTCCCAGAAGCAGAAAGACACACACGGTATATACTCTAGCTAGGATTTCAAGTACTATGTTGAAGAGGTAAAGGAGAGAGTGGACAGCTTCTCCTCTTCCCTGATTTCAGTAGCATTGATTTAATTTTCTTTCCATTTAGTTTGATGTTGGCTATAGGCTTGCTATGTATTGCTTTTACTATGTTTAGGTATGTGCCTTTGATCCCTGATGTCTCCAAAACTTTCAACATGAATGGGTATTGGATTTTCTCAAATGCTTTTTTGGCATCTAAGGAAATTATCTTATTTTTTCTTTAAATTTGTTTATATGGTAGATTACATTGATGGATTTCTGTGTGTTGAACCACCCTGCATGCCTGAGATGAAGCCCACTTGGTTGTGGTGGATGATATCTCTAATGTGTTCTTGGATTCAGTTTGCAAGTATTTTATTGAGTATTTTTGTGTCAATGTTCATAAGCAAGTATTTTATTGAGTATTTTTGTGTCAATGTTCTCCCCTATCAGTGGACTTGGAAAGGAGCAGGGAGGAGATGAGGGAGGGAGAGTGGGGTTGGAAGGGAATGAGGGAGTGGGATACAGCTGGGATACAAAGTTAATAAACTGTAACTAATATTAAAAAATAATAAGTGGATATTAGCCATGGAATTAGCTAAAATCTGTAGTCCTAAAGAAGCTAAACAACAAGAAAGACCCTAGCGAAGAGGTTTAATCCTCATTCAGAAGAGCAAACAGGACAGACATCTGAAGTAGGAGAAGACAGGGAACAAGAGAGGGGCCCTCTGAAAGACTCTGCGCACCAGGGTATTAAAGCAGATGTTGCGATTCATAGCCAATCAAACTTTGGGCAGAGTGCAGGGAATCTTATGGAAGAAGGGAAGGATAGAAAGACATGGAGAGGTCAGGAGCTCCACAAGAAGATCAACAGAGCCAAAAAATATGGGCTCAGGGGGTCCTGCAAAGACTGATGAATCAACCAAGGACCACGCATGAAGAGGACTTAGACTCCCTGTTCAGATGTAGCCCATAGGTAGCTCAGTGTCCATGTGGATTCCCTAATAAGGAGAGCAGGGGCTGTCTCTGACATGGACTTAATGACTGGTTCTTTGATTACCTCCCCCTGGTGAAGTGGGCTAATTAGGCCACAGAAAAAGAGGATCCAAGACAGTCCTGATGAGATCTGATAAGCTAGGGTCAGATAGTAAGGGAGGACTGCCTCCCCCTCTCAGTGGACTAGGGGAAGAACATAGGCAGAACATAGGCGGGAGAAGAGAGAGGGAAGGTAAGACCTGGAAATGAGGCAGGGGGCTACAGCTGGGATACAACAAGAATACATTGTAATAAATAATAAATATAAAGAAAAAATACTTTATTAAATATAAAAAATTAAAGTAATCCTTTGGTCTTAAATCTTAGTTGTCAATTATTCGACTTAATATATTATATTGAAGAATTATATAGAAATTATTTAGAAAGCTAAGGAAATATGAAATATGACTTTAACCAAGTTTTTTTTTTAATTACCAAGTTTCATATAATGAGTAAATATTCAAAATAAAGAGCTTACAGACCTTCTCCAAACCTTCTTCCTTGAGACTGATCACATCCAAATCAAAATCTGTCCGTAAGCCATTGGTTTTGTTAAACGTTATTCTACCTGTGAGGCCTTCCCAGTGAGCCTGAAAAAACAAATACCTATAATTAAAAAGTAAGAAAAAATAAAAGATATCATGATTTTTCTGGGAACACTAGTAAATCAAGCTATATTACCTCTCATAAATTATATTGAAATATCTCTTGAAGTGCATTTTCTTCTGAAATGTGAAGGATTTTTTTTCTCTCATTAATTTCAGTTATATTATAAATGTTATATTTCAGTTATATTATTAATGTTTATAGATATAAGTTTTTTCCTTAGATATATCTAATGATTTTGTTTTATATAGTGAAGATCATTTAACAAAGAAAATAGTAAGGCATAGTATATGAGATATTAAATATATCACTCAGTATTATTCATAACTATAATTAACTAACTGCTTAAATTAATAACAGTAATTAACTTATTACTATGAAAAAAACTGAGTACATAAGAGTTTGTTGTACTTTAGTTAACAATCTTCCTTTATGATAACCAATGTTACATTTCCCTGAAGAATAAAAGAAAAACATATTGTAATTATTTTATATCAGGCTGTAATTCCTGTAAAAGATGTTCTCAGTAAAAGATTAGGTAGGAATATAATTCCTCCAAGGTAAGTAAATGGGTAGATTTTATCTTAAAAACAAAACATTTTCCTGTTTTGTCTGTTATTTATTCAAAGTTATATATTTTTCCCTAAATGGCATTTGGAAAACATAATTACCTGAAAAAAATTGAAGATGCAGTGTACGCATGCAAGTGCATGGTTTGAAATAATGTACAATGCCACAAAGACATGATTTTTTTAAAGAAATAAGGCTAATATTTTAGTAGTGAATGTAAATGAATACCATCACTACACTATTGTCTTTTAGTCACTGTTTGTTTCTTACATACTAGTCTGCAGGCATTTCAAAATAGTTTTCAGCTAACAAATTATAACTGAAGTAAAAACATGTTATACTTGTCTCCAAGAAAATTAAACATTCACTATCTTATTTGGATAGAAAATTATTTTGTCTGAACTTTTTTTAATAGAAAAAAAATATTCGGATCATAAGCAAAATTTATAATAGTTTAATGACAGATAAGAGGATAAGAAAATACCAGAATACACATGTAGAACAGCAAGATGAAATTAGGTAGAGAACAGTAAAAATATAATAGGCAAAACACAGCAAGTAATAAAAATTCTTGAACATACTCAATTTTAAACTTCCTAGCAACCAGAGCAGAAAAAAAAAATATGATGACATTGTAACACGCAGGGTTCATATTTGGAGACATACACGCTGCTTGGGATAAACAGCTTTTCCTGGTACTGAGACCTCAGAACATTTCTTCTGTTGGTCCCCTTAAGGGGAATACTGAGATTTAGTGGACAAGGCTCTCGATTACACCCCACAATAAATACAGTAGGGAATGTCATATAATGTTTCTTTCAGGGCTAGCTGACACGCATCACAGTCGTAGTGCTCAAATGCTGAGTTCAGGAAAATCAATTCTTTAACCACTGAGACCTATGATCTATGTACAGAGCTCTGAAAGTGGAGAGCGCTTTAAAACGATGCTAATGTACAGTGTGAAGCAACTAATAAAGACTGTATTCTTCAGGGAAAATCAGTGCACCTAAGTGAGTTAAATAAAATTTAGACAATGGAAATTGTTTACCAATACTGTGAGAATCCTATTCTTATTTGTATTTTTTATTCCCTGATGAATAATTCATTTATAAAATAGATTGTTAATATTGATGCAATGATGAAAAATCATAAGCATACCAGTGCCTGTAATTGTCTTAATAGCTAAGACAACAGTTCATTTAAGCGTTTGTCCATGAGGAATGCACTAAGGAAACAAAGGACTTCCCTTAATAAGGAAAGAATAAAAATGAAAAAAAAAAATGTGTGTTGCCTGTGTGTGCAAATGTAGAATTTTCCACTTGTTTTTCCTACTTCAGACTTAGTCATAATCAGATGGGAAATAATACATGATCATAAGCATGACTACATTACACAGTGTGAAGTTATTTTTGTGCTTTGTGAATCCAGATATCATTTTTATTTTGTGTTTCAAAGTGATAGGAATTGAACTTGGGCATCATATATGCTCATGAAGCAGACAACCACTGAATTACATTCCTAGCTCTGATATATTCATTTTTAGCATGAATAATTACTATAAGTAATATAATTGTATATTTTGTTTCAGGTAGTTTCACACATGAAAAAGCAATGCTTCATATTTTAGTTTTAAATTTATTGAAGCCTAAATAGCATTCAAGTTGAAACACACTTTATATTTATTGCTTAAATTCAATTCCTTAGACACCTATACCTCTACTTAAAACATCAGAGAGATACATTTTTAAACATAAGTGTAATATGAATCAAACATTCAACGGGTCATAGGTTTCATATGTTTAGTTCATCATAGATATGTTGATGGATATTGAACTGATTTATGAGCAAAATAACACTTTTACTTGGGCTATTGTATCTTGACTTGTCTTGCTTGGCTCTTGTCTCTTGGAGGCCTGCTTTTTCCTCAAGAGGAAATAGAGGGGAAGTGGATGTGAGGATGGGAGCTGGAGGGATCTGGGAGGAGTGGGGAAAGGCAAAACTGGATATATTGTATGAGAGAAGAATCTGTTTTCAAGAAATGGAGGAGGAAATGAAGTCTCAGTTAAAAAATAAAACTGAGGGCTAGGAGAACTGCAATGACCTGACCCAGAGTCCTTTCTCTACTTACCTCTTTAATCAGACTCATGAAGCGGGTCCCAAAGCGCCAGGGTTTGTGTCGATTACACTGCAAGGAGCTGACTGTCATCTGTGGAAACTGCTGAACAGCCACAGACACGACATGCACTGCATCATACATCAGAGCAGCATCCGTCTGAAAGCCCAGAGAAAGGACATAAATGTTCACAAAATCGTGCAACAGGGGTAGGCAGCATGAAGAGAAGAATGGGCTAAGGAAAATACCATTTTCCAGTTTTTCTTTGTATTAGAGAAAACAATTTCCTCTACATTTCAGATACGACATTATGGTCATATTACTATAACTCATGTAGAACTGTTAACCCATGTGGCTTTTCTTTTTTAAATCAATCAATAGCCAAGTTAGACAGGCCCTGTATTGCCTTTTTAGCTGGAAATACATGAAGATGCTATTTATTTCTCTTCTCACTCTCCCTGGATCTATTTTACTCTGTCTCACCACATACACAAGAAGTACACTGGATGAAAATGTGACATTTAGAATGATTATATATCTCACATATTATTCATAGAAGTAAACAATTCTCCTTTGCAGGGAGAAGAAAAGAGATTTTAAAGCAGGGTTACTCAGAAAAGCTTAAAGATATAAGCCCAGATATTTTCAGCTCTATTTTGAAATATCCATTCTCAGTCCTGAGGCGTCATTCCACCGACTGAATCTCAGTGTATGTGTTAATCCCTTTTCAAGAAACTAAGCTTAATCTCTTATGCTGTTTTCTTCACTCAAAATTTCCATATCAATATAAGTTCATTTGGCTTCCCAAGTAAAATGAATATGAATTCTACTGTTCTGCACCTGCTCAAGTGACCAGCCACTTTGTGAGTCAATGACAAAAATAATGTTTATAACTCATAACAAACAAGAGCTTTAGACTGTCAAGCTCTATGCTAAGAAGACCCTCTCACTGCATTTTGGGATCATGCCTGATATTATATCTACAGGATAGGGACACACTGTCAGGGCTAGTAGCAGTGAACTTTGAGCCATCTGTCTGGAATGCTTTAGAATAAAAGCTTCTATTTCTTTCTTTTTTTTTTTTTTTTTTTTTCTGATGCACACAATTAGTGGGCTGTGAAATGAATTCCAAACTGAATAGGAACCCTGTAGATCATATTGTTTGCCACAATTCAAAACAGAATGAGGAGACTCTATTTTTCCATTCAAATGGATCCTAAAAGCTTTACCAGATGAACTGGAAGTCTGAGGAAACAGCACACTGCAATACCAGAACACAGGAGCAGTCATTTTGTCCTTCATAAGTCTTTGAGAAATGTAAAGTTATAACCACAAACTCATTTTATAAATGACAGATGGCTAATTTTGTATACCTTACTGGCTCAATGGTGGAAACCAGAGGAGTGAATTTGATACAGGTATCCAATATGAGCCTGACAATTACACTATTTGGTTTGGATCTAAGCTAACATCTGAAGAATGTATCTCATACATCACACTGTTAGTCCTAAAAGCAATTATCAAATTTCAAAAAGGCAGGGTTTTTTTTCTAAAGTATAATAAAATTTTATGGCACACACCTATCTGAGAAAGGTAGACAGAAATAAAATGTTTCGGGTACTACAGACAGGCTCGGACACAGCATCACCATAGAAAAACACCTTAAAGCATCCATTTTCTTCCTAAATTCAAATTCCATTTTCTAATGTGATGATCAGTCTTGTCAACTGGACTACATTAGGTCACCTAGGATGCAAACCTCTGGGCATTTTGTGAGGGAAAATGCTTTTTCAGAAAAGCTTAACCGAGAAAGGAAGAGATAATCTCCATATGGGTGGGACCATCCCACAGGCTAGCAGCCTAGGCTGAATAAGATAAAATAAAAGAGTGGTTCACCATTCCTTTCCCTTGCACCTGGACTGCAGACCCAAATAGCTATCACACTTCTGCTGCCGCTCTGGCCATGAGACTGTACCCTGTACCTGTGAGCAAAAAAATACTTTTCCTTCTTTAACTTGCTCTTGTCAAGAATTTTTTCAGAGCGGTGGGTGGGAAAAGAAACTAATATATCAACGTCTAGAGTATGAGTTAAAAATCACAAATAAGAATAAAAACTATTAACATTAATTTTCATAGTATTTTTGAATTGGAATTTTATTAAGCAGCTTTATAAGCTCTAAACAATAAAATGAAAAGTGAATAACAACGAAATTTTTGGAAAACATACAAATACCACAGTAGTATCTCATTCCTGAACAAACAGTGGATTGGGCTAGATATAAAAATGCCTTAAAACAAATAAAAATAGAGACATAAAGAAAATAATCTATTGAGTACTAACAGGAGTATTTACAGCAATCAATATATACATGACATATATTTGTCATATATATCATAACCTCTTTTCCTCATGCTTTATCTTTTTAAACCTAAGGCTCAAAGTCTGTACATAGAATGTATATTCATTTGGTGGAACTCTTTCATCATTCCTCTTTTCTCTCTATTTTATTAAATATCCTTTCTCTGCTTTTTAGTATTACTGAACTTCTAGAAATATTGGAATAGATGACTAAGCAGATCCTGTTGAAGCTAACATTTGTTAGTCTGTCATTTTCTAATCAAAGACAAAATGCTTGAATTAGAAACTGATATATAAGACATTAAAAAGGAATATACATTTTTAAAGAATAAAACTAATAAATCTTTATGTGCAATAATTATAAAAAAGAAAGAGAAGGCTTAAATAAAACCAAAGATTTAGTGACACCACAGGGATAAGATAGCTGATCTAGATGGTGACTTAGGCTTTGGCAGCTTGACGATCTGAACCAAAAAGAACTGGAAAGATGGCTATGTTCTCACCATAAAAAAGATTCCATCAACAAAAAAACAAACAAACAACTCAGAACAAAATTTCTTTCACTGCTAAATTTTATCATAAATTCAAAAAGAGAAGAACGTCTTCCAGACTCATATTCTGAAGTCATAATTACCCTGATACCAAAATATGACAAGGGCATTACACAAGAAAGCTGCCAAGATTATTGATGAGCATAGACAAAGAATCATAAGGAAAACATTAATAATCAGAGGTTTATTTCAGTGAATGGTACACTGAAAAGATTACTGAAGTGAGTCTCAGAAGAGGTCGGAATTCAAGTGAGTTCAGAGGAGAAGGATATCCAACATTAATCTTTGGCTTCTGCATATACAAGCACACATACACTTAAACACGTGCATAACACATACACACACACAAGCACATATGCATAGCACGTTTATTCAATTTAATCAAGATGAATTTTCCTCAGAGTTTCAAGTATTTGCAAGGAGAGCTGGATATACATTGGTCAATAAACATGATGCCTTGATACAACATACCAAGAAAAGGAATGACAGAAGTCACATGATCATCTCAACAGATGCCAAACTCACATGTGATAAAATTTAACATCCTTAATGAACAAGATGCTAAACTATTTAGCTTAGGAGTAACAGAGTTCAAAGTAATAAAATCTATATATAACGAGGCAACAGCTCACAACATATAGAATGCTGGAACTGACAGTAATGCCTTAAGATGCAAGAAGAAAAGAATGCCCACCTTTGTCACTTTTATCCAAGATGATACTAGAAGATCTACCCAGAGCAATTAGGCAAAAAAAATGAAATAAATAGCATCCAAGTTAGAAAGAAAAAAAGGCAAATTGTCACCATTTACAGATGACAAAATTTTATATATAAAGACGTCAAACACATCATCAAAAACTATTAAAATTAATAAACTAATCCAGCAGAGTAGCAGCATATAAAATTAATATCAAATTAATTACATTGCTATATAGCGAGAGTGAGTTATCTGAGTTGGAATTCAGCAAATCTTTCCTACTTAGAACAGCCACAAACATAAAATAAAACACATACAATTTATATTTAAGCAAATATTGAAAAGATTTCTACAATATAGCTATGAAACATGCTAGAATACATTTTAAAAGACATGAATGAATGGAAACACAACTGTAAAACATAACGTTAAAATTATTAAAATTTCTACAACCCCTAAGTGATTGATAGATTCGAAAAAAAAATCCCTACCAAACTGCAATGACTTTCATCACAGGACTAGCTAAGTAAACACTAAAGTGTGTGTGAAAGCATAAAAGAATTTGAATTGCCAACCTGAATATAAAACACACTACTAAAATTTACATGACGCCAGCATGAAAAATAGCCATGCCAACCAATGAAATGAAATAGAGGAGGAGAACCAGTCCTTTGCAGTCAACTAGTTTTGACAAAAGTAGAAGATAGGAAATAAAAAATATCCATAAATGTTTCTAGCAAACTAGCTAGCTGCTCATAAAGTGAAAATGGAAGCCCCTGTCAGTGTTTCCAACATTAAACTACTAAATGAAGCAACAGTGCAGATTCCATCTAATTAATAACATTAAAGAAGTAAAAATGCACAAATGGAATTAAAATATAACAACAACAACAATAGCAAAAGCTCAGTGAAGAAAACTAACAAAACAACACTTATTTACAGCAATGGAAACAGTATTCTATAGATAAAAAGAAGGTATTTGCAAACTATGTATCTAAAAAGAAATATACCAGTACATCCAAACACTTGATAGCATGGGGGAGGGGGATTTAGCTAGCAACATGCTTTAAGGGAGGGGGTTACAGCTGGAATACAAAGCGAATGAACTGTAATTAATAAAAAAATAATTAATTAAAAAAAGATTTGGTGATAGGCCAATCCTAAGTAAATGTTTGTAAAATTCTAGGTGAATCGACAATAGGTACCTTAAAAGTTTCTCAATTTTCTTTATTACCAGAGACACATAAATCAGGGTGAAAGGAACCTGTCACCCATTGCAGACAGTGTGGCTGCTGTCCAAAGCCAAAAGATTTAAAGGTGCTGGCAAAGACACTAAGAGATCAAAATCTTTCCATACTGTTGTGATATTTAAATTTGTTAAATACTATGGAAAGCAGAAGAAAGTTTTCACAAAGGTTAAAAATAGAGCCATGATTTGATCCAGCAGTCTTCCATATTTGGAGGAGTTCTGATGGGAACTAAACACTTATGACTCTGTTACCCCTTGAAATTAAATCTCTGAGATAAAATTCAAATTAAATATAATGTTCCT